TTTTAGCACGATAACAGTCAAGCCATTTCAGGAAACGTTCATTTACTTGACTGTCCGTCGAGCCGCAAGCAATTCACTCTGAGCATGGAAATAGCCCGAATCGGACTGAGCAAGAATCGCTTCCTCGTTTTACAAAGTCTTGTAGATTTGAGTCTTCCAGACTCCAAGCGTCTCCTGAATGTTTCGTACTTCGTAACTCACTTCGTTTAAAGAGATACACTTCATTTTCTCTTCCGCGGCCATTACCGCTCCTCTTTGTTTGGATGCCATGCTCTAATAAAGGATGTAAAAATGTTCGCAATTCCAGTAAAACTCACTGCAACAAAGAGTCGCTTGCATGTCGCCGTTTTGGATCCAATGACAGAAAATAGCGATGGGGATACATCTATTTCGTCGTATCGAGCGCGACTTACTTGAGTTAGTGCTACTCCGGGCTTCCGTATCGTCTCCCCCTCCCTCCTTGTGCTATGCGACTTCAAGTAACTGCGCCACTTGGCGTTTAAATGTCTGTATTACAAGTCCAAATGAAATGAATGCAATAATTTACATCGAACCTTAATTGTGTACTGTACCAACCTTCGGCGGGCCGGATTAAAAAGACCAACGGGCCGGATCACATCTAGTGACTAGATGTTAATGAGTAGAATCGTATGCCACCGGTAGTACCAGTGACATGCAGCTGTCACCTAGTGCACAGTTCTGCCTGACTAGTACTAGTAGTGGTTCCATACCAAAATTGTTCGAGTACTGAGTACATCGTACATGGACCTTAAAATGGATGTAAAGGATATGGAATAAATGACCAAACAGCTTTCCATACTGTATACTGTAACCTACTGCAGGTGTTTTTATTTAACTTGTGTGTCATGCAGAATCACTCAATTTATAAAAAATGGATTATTATTATTATCATTATTTTTTTTTTTAAATGAAAACATACCAGATGACTTCTGATACCAGGTGTTCCACACAAACACACGGGACCTTAATTCTGCTCACTATGACAAGTGCTGTTAATATGCAGCTTGCCCTCCGAGCTGGATTAAAAACCGACAGCTTTTACGATTAGTGAGTCCAACAACCAACTCTTACAGGCATGTGAAATGTCATTTTCTCTTCCGATCTATCTCAAGTGTTTTATAAATGAGCTTAACATGTCTATGTAGAATTACCAGTGTACCCCAGTCTTCTACCCCACCATGGACTTTGCCCTCCCTCTCCATCATGTAACGTCTGAGACACATGGGGAGGTGCTTAGTGTTAAATAGTATCTGGTAGTATAATTAAATAAAGCTTAGCTCTGAGCCAACTCTTTAGTGGCATGACTTCACTTAAATCAAGAGATTTTAACCTTAGCGATGTTCGCAAAACAGCATTGAATGCAAATGATTGAGGAAAAAAACAACAACATTAGATGATTGATTAATTAAACTGATTCAACTCAAGTTCTTTTATATAGCATTTTAACACAACCAGTTTTGCATACAAAGGGCTATAGGTGGAATAAAAATCAAGTATATCATAACAAAGGCAGTGAAAACAGTAAATTACACAATAACACAAATTAATAGATACATTTTGATCATTTAATCATTATTAACCAATTAATGAATTTATCAAGTAATCAATTAATTATTAATCATTAATTAATCAATGAATTAATCAATCAATTAATACTAACGAAAACAGCAGTCACCAGAAAACAATAGAACAATGTCAATTCCCATGTTGGTTTTAAAGACAAAGAAATAAAATGTGTCTTAAGACGAGTTTTAAAAATGGACAGAGAGGGGCTCTAATATTTAACAGAAGTTCATTTCAAAGGGACGGATCGGCAACAGAAAAGGCTCGATCCCCTCTGAGGCTCTGCAGAGTCCTCAGTTCCCTGCAGTAGTGTCTGGTCCTGAGACATAGGCCATAGGGGTGGGGGAATTTAGGTAAGGTAAAGTGATGCAAAACTTGACAACAAAAGTAGTTTTGAAAGACCTGAAACTCAAAAATGTACAGAGAGCCAGTGACGGGAGGCCAGAATTGGAGTTAAGTGCGCCCTCGTACGAGCACCAGTTCAGAGGCGATCAGCAGCATGTTGGACGAATTGGAGATGCTTGAGGGAGGCCTGGCTAACTCCAAAAAAAGTGCATTACAATAACCCAGCCGATATGTAACAAAGGCATGGATAACTGTTTCTAAGTGCTGTTATACCTCGGACAAAAAAAGCTGAATTGAACAACAGCATAGATTTGCCGGTCCAATTTAAAATCACCGCCCAATTTTCAACCCAAGTGCGAGACTGTTGGTTTTAGATAAGATGCCAGGGGGCTCAGGTCAACAGGGTACTAAAAGAACAGCAGGGGAATAAAACTGACAAATGGATTATTTAACGGCTGTTAAACGTGCAATATTATGTTTCTTGGAGGTCTGACTTCCTTATTGTGTCTCCATTGCAAACTAAATGAAACTGTATCTTCCAGTTAACCCCCCACCCACCACCACCACAACCACCACTTTCACCACCCACCAGCAAATGTTCCTCCCTCCCTTCCGTTCCTCCAACGAAGGCTCTGACTGTACTCTTCCAGCTCTAAATAGGGTTATTCCCCAAGAGGTATAGGGAGGAGGGCGGAGGATAAGAGGTAGACTGCACTTTGAGCCAACCACACTCTCCTCTCTCGACATCTTCTTCAATCTCTCACTCTCTGAGGACAATCTTTCTTTTGACTCCCAACCCACCATGGAATATTAGTCTTTTTGCATTTAATCAGCCAACACTTGCACCCAAAAGAGTTTCAATTCATTAAAAGCACTCAGATATTCAGGCCAGCTGCCTCCTGGAGACTGGCTCAAGACAAGGTGGAGACAGACAGGCAGACGTGTGTGTGTGTGTGTGTGTGTGTGTGTGTGTGTGTGTGTGTGTGTGTGTGTGTGTGTGTGTGTGCATTTTATTTATTTTTTTGCCGGCTGATGGAGGAGGTAGGCTGTGTGTTACCTCGCATTTTTTTTGTGGAGACAGGGTAACCCAAACCTCAGCAGTGATCGGGCTGTGCTCAGCACTATTCTACCACAGCGAGATCGAACCACACTTAATGGTGCGACTGGTTTATGTGTGCATGTGTAGTAGATGTGAAAGGAAAAAAAAAAGCACACACATTTATGGACATTTACAGCTGTGCATGCACACACTACACATGTGCAGACACAACGGCTCAGCAAGGGTTTTGAAATTGAGATTGTAAATTCAACATACCACATTTTCATTGTAATTATATGACATTGCATGTGAATATGCACCAACCATCTACCTGCAAGTAAGAATCTGTATCCAGAACATTCTCCACAGACCAGATGGCTCCATTGTGGCTCGGGAATCAATATTTAAGGAGGGGAGACACACCAACAATGCATATGCTTGTATTTGCTGTACCCCGCGATAAAATATTGGCAATCTTTTTTTTTTTTTTTTTGTCTGCAAGTATTGTCGTTTGAGCACAAAGAGTATTTGATAGCAGTCTGGTGCAACTGCTTTGGAACTACAATCATGATATGTTTTGAGTCAAGGTCAGATGTTCAGTTAGAAAGGCAAGTGTGTGTGTCAGTCATGAAATACTGCCACCAAGAGAGGATATGTCACAGGCAGTTGTTACATTTGTCTGAGTAACACAGACAAGAAAAAGTAAAAGTCCATGCCATTGTTCACCCATTTTGATGTTTAACACCGTTGTGACAAGAACATCCATTTCATCCAGTTTTCATTCCATTTGTCCTCATTAGGGTCGCGAGTGAGCGTTTCTTCGCCAATCAATCGCAGACAGTTTCAAGTAGTGTCAGATGGAACAGACATTGTCGTTAATTATTCTTTGAAAATACACCGGATTTTTGATAGCACCCTCACATGAGACCTCATTAGATTTTCCAGATGTGCCTGTTGCTGTCATTATCTCTTCAGAATACATTTTTTCATTCATGATGCAAGATGACCTAGCATTACTTGAAGTGTTCTTGCAAGTATGATGCATTTGGACTTGCAATCACAATCCACACCCAACAAATATGTTAATTATTGAAAATAATATTTAATACTGTATTACGAAAAATTATTATAAATATCATTGGTAAAACTGATTCAAATCTCGTTTTTATCTAGTAGCATACAGTCTGGGAGAAGTTTCTTCTTTCCAAAACATTTATTAAATCACCAACTAAAGTAGTAGAATTTCATTCCATTTGACACGTTGTCTTCTTCACCAGCACACATCTGAAAGAGTTCTTGCTAAACACATTTTGCTGGTGACATTATCTCTACTGGTATCTGACCTTGAGCCACTCAACTTCACGATGATGTTCAATCTTTTTCTTTTCCTGCTGTTTGACTATTTTACAGACAGTAAGTGAATGAAGAGCACAGCTGATGGTGCTGCTTTCACAAGTCATAGATTTCACACCACCCACACTGAGTTGACTCTTATGAGAAAATATGCAGTCAAGGCATTTGCCCTGACATAGATATAACTCATATGATCCACAACATCAAATTTATGATGATGACAATATCAAGTGAGATACCAAAAGAGCAGATCAGCTGTCAAAAATCATAATGGAAACCCCATGTAAAGTATAGCTGTATTGGAGTAACTCGGTTACTTGGAGTTACATTGTTTTTTGTTTTTTTTTCTCAAATATTTTTGGCCAAGTAACACTATTCAGGAATTTGCTGCTGGTACGTAACGTTCTACTTATACATAACCAGGAGTGCACAGAACTGGCACACAGGTACGCATGCGCGACACAAATCATTCATGCGTAACGTCATTTATGTCAAGACAGGCCTTTACGTACCTGCACACGTCCGTCCGCTTTTTCATCTGCTGGAGCAAAACAAATGAGCCAACCGTTGGAAGCTGCTTCCTTACGTCGTGCCACTGACCAGTAACGGACAACTCATTTCGGACTTTCTTGGACTAATTGAACTCGGCGCTGATCGAACCGCACATGCCATACCTGACGGAATAGTGAGACTTTGAGGAAGCAGATTTGGACAACTGGATCGATAAGTTGGTCGCTGTGTGCGCAAACAGTGCTTCTGTTAACGTTGGTGTGTACAACGAACGGCATTGTGCCTCAATGTAAGCAACTCGCTGCAGCTGGAGGCTCCCTAGTGGACTTTTTGTGTACTGCGCACACACTGGAGAACTGCGCAAAGTCAACTGATCACAGTGTGCGTTACTCTGATACAGTTCATCGCTCTGTGATCAAGCTGCTGTAATTGTATTTACAGAAGGGTGGTGCAAAAAGATACACTGAAGAAATTGCTTGAAGAAAATGGGATCACTTTTGTGAAACTGAGCACGTTTCACAATGTCAGATGGTCTGCATTGAGGCATGAAACAATGCGAAATATACCCACTGCCAGTCATTCAAATGAAAGCTGGCTTCAAGTGATACAAGCGAATTGCAGCATATCCGCACAAAGCGTTTTCAATGTCTTCTGGCCAATATGCCTGTTGGTAACATTTTGAAGACCACATCCTTGAGGTTTCAGAAGGAAAAACATAAGCATTGGAGAATGTCAAGATGAACTAATGGTGGCCATTGGATAGTTCACACTTCTGCTTGACCGTCGTGGTTGCCATAGGACACGCTGTTTCGAATGCTGATGCTGACAGAGACAAGTCAAACTTACAAAAATGGTTATTTGAAGAATTTGGAATTAGATACGGGTGGCACGGTGGTCGACTGGTTAGCATTCCCACATCTCAGCATCACAAAAACCACATACAGATCTCGTCTGTCACATGCCCGTCTCTCACCCCTGATGCACATTCACCTGTCTAAAATGACAACAAAGGCATATGGCCCAAAGTCAGCTCTTAACCTGTGGATGGAAACTGCTAATCGGAGGCTCAAGCAGGGACAAGGAGATGTATCTACAGCATTTACCGTGCTGGTCACTGAAACAGATGACAGTGTGGCGACAGAGGAGGAGATCGAGGAAGATGCTACATCAGACCACACAGTGAGGACCAAACACAGTCTCCTGGTACTCATGTGAGTAACCCATGAACAAAATGATATGCACCTCTGTACATAACAATATACTAAATCACAATGCATTCCAAACATGCAGGAATTCCATTCTCTAACAAAACAACCCTCCATACACATGTGTAGAATGTTCTCACTGCAATTCATTATTGTTGTCTCACTTTATTGGTGCAAATAATTGTCCAGCCGTGCATCTTATGGTTTGGCTTATCTGATGTAAATGGATATGTCCATACAACCATTTATTTTCTCCTGTTAATATCCTTAATTTAACTTGTAAGAATGATAATTTAACATTAAAAAAAAACATGCGTAAGGACTCTCTTTCAAATACACATTTTAATGACAATAAGAAGCCAAGATGTAAGAACACGAATGGGAGTGCAGGCGAGGTCTCAAAGGAGCTCGTTTTGCCCGTCTCACCAAACAGTCTGAGGCAAAAGAGCATGCCTTACAAGATCTGATTAGGTGTAAATTAAAACTTCATTAACCGTCAGTGCGGATTAAGAGAAGGGCAGAGGAATGCCTTTGTTTAAGTTCATCACATATTGCTGTCTCTCATTTGATAATGTTTGCCTGCATCATATATAATTGATGTCCCTGTATGTCTTCAGCATTCAGCTTTGATCTTCAACCACCCCCAACAGTGTGGTGCTCTTCTCTTTAAATATGTATGACGCAGTAACATTAATTGGGTTAAAGAGGTCAAAGTTCATAATGAACTAATCTTTCCACTATACATTTGACACATTAGTATATGTTGATCAAATTTCATAACGAATAATGATGATAGGCTGACATGTACTGATCTGTTTCAAAAACGAATTTAAAAAAAATGTCTGCCTTGGTTAGAATCCCGATTCAGTCGTTCCTTTGTGCTTCTGTTTTTGAGTTTCATTGACTTTGAACTGTCCATAGATGAGAACGTAAGTGTAAATGGGTGAATGTACAGTATAGTGTCACTGACTGACAACCAGTCAAGGGTCTCTAGCCTAAAGAAAGTTAAAGTTAGGTTCCAGTTCACTAATCCTACAGACAGCGCTAGGTTCCGTCTGCTGCTATGATAGAACGAGGCTGTCTGAAGAAGCCAGGTAACATTTGGATGGTTCACATGAGAGATACGTGGGGCGATGCTAGCTTTACTGTGTATGTAACCTCCACCTTCCCCCTCCTGCTTAGTGTGGGCAAAGAGACAGACACACCTCTGGTTTTAACAGAGAAAAAGAGAAAAAAAAAACCAAACAAATTTTGTTCCAAATCACAAACTGGCTCCTATTGATTACACCAAAGAGCCAGCTCAAAGAAATGTGGCCCAAGTTTACTACTTCATTAAAGCGAGAGAAAATCGGCCAGCCATCCTTCTAAAGGTTTTTTTTTAGACTGTTTTACACATTGCCTTACGCCCACAATTTGATAACCTTTTCACCTGAACACGCTTTACAGCCAAGCACTGCCACAGGATATTTGATCGAAAGATCAGTACAGATGGTGAAGATAGATTTTTTTTTTTTTAACCTCTTCACGGTATACACATCCCTTGCGAGTGGGAAAATGACAACGAATGCAGAATTTGTCAGCCGGAAGATGTGAGAGACGCTTAAATGAAGCTCTTTAAAATAAAAAAAAATGGCCAATTAGTGAAGTGTCAGATGCCATTTTTTTGTACTTCACACATGCGTTTCTTTGATGCCACGTGGCGTTCAGTGGATATGAGTTTGAAACACTTTCTTGATGTGCCGGTTTTGATGAGGGCTAGGTTACACCTCAGGGCTTTGAAAGAATCACTTATGAAGCTTCAGAGAAATGACACAGGCAATGAAATGGGGAAATATTTTTGAAATTTCATTTGATGCACTTGAGATGATCACAAATTTGTTTTAATACACTCATTGCGAGAGATTATTTGCTCACATCAATTGAACATCTTACCCAAAGCCGAAGCCTAAACAATATCAATGAACCAAAAGTGATGGGTTTACCTCTCTATGATTCATAGTAGAAAGGCTACTTAGTAGTGTATAGAATGTACGCGACCTTCACATATGCTTGAGCAGGGGTGTCCAAACTCAGTCCTCAAGGGCCGATGTCCTGCCCGTTTTCCCATCTCTCCTTGCTACAACACACCTGATTCAAATTATCACGATTGTTATCTTGCTTCTTCAGAGCTTGCTGATAACCTGATCCTTTGAATCAAATGTGTTTCAGCAAGAAGAGATGGAAAACAGGGAGGACAGTGGCCTTTGAGGACAATGTTTGGACACCCCTGTTCTACAACCTTGTGATTTTGCTTATTTGGAGAAATCCCCCCCAAAAATACAGGGACATATTTTTGGAGCTGGAAACTTGAGGTTCATTAGTCATAAATTGAGAACATGGACTGTGAAATTTTGGTTGAATGGCTTATTATCGTGTGTTTTAGACTCCAACGACAACTAACTCGCAGAGCCCATCAGGAGGTGTTCCGCCACTACAGTGCTTATACACACTTGTGTGGACAAGGTTACCTTTGTTGTTTTGGCCCACCTTGCCAAGTGCCTCTTGCATGAGCTTCCCCTTCAAGCCTGGTGTGGATGCTGCAATACTCATTGCCACAACCAGGGTAGCGTGAACTTGAGCCACACGTGCATTATCACATGCACGCAAACATGCATACTCATGTGCAGGCTCGCTCATTGACAATCATTTTCCACCTCCGCACAAGCAACCCCCATCACCCTTGGGTGATGAACAACATCTGCTTATCCATCCCTTCGTCCCTGCCCCTGGCATGGCTGCTGGCTTCCTCCTGGCTGCACTGCCACAATGACATCCTGTCTGCCTTTCTGTCACCCATTACTAAAATGTGTAGTGACAATCAGGCTTTTTTTTTTTTTTTTTTTAAATGAACCCTTCCCTCATATCAGCCTGGGACCAGTAACACCAGCTTTCATGCATGCCTGGAGTATGCCCCATGAATAAGTCTTTACATGTTGCCATGATGGGTCCTGCATTTTATTGTGTTCTGTTTCACCTTCTAATCGTTCTAGCCTAAGAAAAGTAAGGCTATGCTCCCTGTTGCCCAGCTTGATGGTGAGGACAAGTATAATGTTGGTATCTCATCGAAGAAGGACATAAACATTTTCTTTTTTTTTTGTTGTTTTTAATGCAGTTTGCAAATCTTAATTCCCTCAGATTGTGGGAGGTCAAAACAATGTTGCTGGGGAGGCATACTCTTCTGTACCCTGCCTTTTTTTTACACATCTTGGCCAGTGACTTGCTCACAGGTCCGCAGTCCCGTTGTCTTTTGACACAGACAGATGACATATTTATTAGCTTGTCAGACGCTGCCCTTGCTCATAATGTCTCTATCGCTCTCAACATAAAACAACAAGAAACCACAACACATACACACCTTAATAGTATGACTTTTCAATCTGAGCCAACTAAACACTTTGTTTTTGTGTCTTCCCCCCACTTTGAGTTCATCTTCTTCTATCTTGCTCACTCTTACACCACAGCTAAAACAATCATCTCCACTGTTTGCTAATTGGGACGGGCTCCCATGGAGATGAGCAGGCAGCGCGCTTGATGAGGCATAAAATGATGATTAATTAATTTACTGCTCAGTTGGTCATCATACTGAGAGCTGTATGAGACTCCCAGCAGTGAACCATGAGCCTAGCCCAGAAATAAAAACTCACTCATTTAATTCAGTGTACTGTGCAATCACATCTTATGTGACAAACTTTCTCTTTTTTAGACTCAGAAGCAGAGGCATTTTCTTCTCCCCCTAAGAGATCCACTTTCATACGACCGAAATAACAATGGCCAACAGGCTTACTCCTCTTCTTCTTGGATCATCCAGAAGGAGATCATTTTAGCTATACAATGGTTGAAAGTGTGAGAACCAGTTACAATTTGTCTGTTGTTCATTCAGATCACACAAAAAGTAAGAAAATTCTATCAAACTTTGTGAAGGAGGAATGATATATATATACAGTATATGTGTATATATTCAATTTGATATACTCGATTAAATATATCAATTATATTTGTTATTTCTATCAGTAAACGCAACACAAATAAACATCTTGCTTTCGGAATACGCTGAGGTCAGTGATTGAGGAAAAGGCAAATGTTGGGAAACAAAGCAAAGTGATGACAGGGAAAGAGTGATAAACATCGGGGGGAGGAACACTTGGGCTTTTCAAACAGTGCATCTCATCTTCATTCCATTCAAACTTGTCAGTGTGATTGATCATTTGATGTAGCTGTGCTGCCAATCACTCCCCTCAAATCTCTTTGTTTTCCTTTTCTGCTTTTTATCACTAAACTTAGAAGTGATATGCAACTACAGAACAGTGAGTTGTGTCAGAGTCAGGAAAAGATGCCAAGTATATATCAAAAGAGCTTTTTTGTAAACATCTTGAGTTTGTTTAAAAGTGGTCATTTCTCAACATGAAAAGATGTGAGCCTAGATTAAGCAAACAAGGTGTAATTTGTGCAATTGTTGTCCTTTGTCACCCGTAATATTACCTATTTGAATCATAGAATACAGTATTGTCTGTATGCAGCATTTTTTTCCCTTTGAGATTTACAACAAATTGCCACTAAATAAGCTGTGGCATTGTACATTAGCTTCGTCTGGGTATTATAGTTGAGGCGGTTTCTAAAAGAAAAAAAAAGAAATCAACATAAATCTCACCACATGTTTCTCACCTCTTGAGTTTTTATATTCTGTTTGATTTAGCAAACAATCACCTGCAGGTGTCCACGTAGTACTCAGTTGTCTGCATCCACTTTTGAGTAAATAAATATTCAGTTAAGTGACCAGAAAAACAATCAAAGGAAACACAAGGGTTACCATAGGGCACTAGTGGAAGAGAGCATAGAGCAAAAGTAGGTCTGCTGTTCAGAGTGGCTTGGTCAACTGGCTGATGACGATGGCAAGTACAACATGGCATCCTTTTATGCTTGGTTTAGTATGTCATGTTTGGCGGTTTGTTTTTGTTGAGGTGGTGTGC